AGACAACCACTCAGCATGAGTGTTGTACAAGCTAATGGTGGTTCTTGCTGCAGAACATTATCATGTTTGTATGCTCAACACGCTTCCTGGGGAAGATAATCTGTCACAGTAAGATAAGCCTTCACCCTCACATCCACTTGGCTAATTCCCAAGTATTAACTGTTTCTTCGTTGCATGTATTCTGGAGACCTCAGTAAATTCACCTTAGTCACACCCAAAACAACTCACTTAGAGTCAGCCATAGACCGTAGATATGCCCACACAACAATTCCATAATTTCGGAGAATTTATACTACGTCACATAACCGCCATTATTCAAGAAGGGAAGGTACATGTCACCACTTCAGTTTATATATATATAATCTGAATGCAATCATTGTTACATTCAGTGACAGGAAAGATAGTTAGTGGAGGGTTGGTACCCCGATAATAGAGAGTGGGAGATTTTGTAGGAATAGTGGGAATGGCCTGTCTGTCTTGTTAACCAGCATTCTAAATCTTGACATTAAAAAGAGAAACGCACCCTCCCCCCAAAAAAACAAACTTTGCTCATATTCGGAACAAGACATTATTTATCAAAACAGAGTGCAGTGGAAGAGAGAGAGGGGGGGAGAGAGAGAGAGAGAGAGAGAGAGAGTGTGTGTGTGTGTGTGTGAGTGAGCAGGGAAAGGTAGATTCATGCCTCATTTTTCAAGGTCATTTAGCGCGTAGTGAATGTCAAATGATATTTGATGTTACACCACTTCGCACACGCACACACATACACACATTTATCTCTCTCTATCTATATATATCTATCTATTTATATATATATATATATATATATATATATATATATATATATATATTAGTTGGATTGATGTCAGTTTGTGATTGGGTGTTTCACGCTATTTGCAAACGTCAGACTAATTGACTGATAACCATCGGGAAAATAAATAACTGACGATCGCAAATAGCGTGAAACCCAGGCTCACAAACTCACATCATTTCTACTAAGTATATTAGCTCTATCACTGATATTGAGCGCTTTACAATAAGTATCGCGCATATATAATATATAAATAATATATATATATATATAATAAATTGCATATATATGTATACTTTTTATATTTACATGCTTACACATTTTACATATATATATATATATTTACATACATACATTTTTTATATATATATATATATATATATATATATATATATATATATATAATTTTTTTGTAGTTTACTGCTACCAGCAAGCAGAAATATTTCTTCTCCTGATGATGGCCATTTTGGCCGAAACTAGTCGAAGAATCTAAATGAAATAATAATAATACAAACGAAAGAATATTAATCTACAACCCAGTGTGTCTGAAGATTTAATTTTTAATATTTTTATTTTCAATATATATATATATATATATATATATATATATATATATATATATATATATATATATATATATATATATATATATATCATCCCACTGATAGAATCCAACACTATTTAAGTTGGCCGAAATATTTTCGTAATGTGCTGCCTACGATGATTTTATCTGATGGTGGTCATTATACACAAATAAGTCAGTGTTCATTATCAAGATGTACGTGTTCCGAACGATGTGATATTCAGCATGAATAAAGCAGGAAGGCCATGTCTACACCACATGGTTATCAACGATTTTACAACTGTTGACTTTGGTGCTTTCTTAACATTCGACACCATCTCTAAACCTCACATCTAAAACTCACCATGCCATTACTCTGAGGGGAACCACCCTCATTCCATTCGTATTTATTCGAGTCGAACACCTTCTTCCCACGAACAACTACTGTGTGGAGCCTACTCCCAAGATGATACTTTCCCAACCACTACAAACTTAATCTCTTCAATCTAGGGTTAAACGTTATTTTTCTCCACATATCCTCATAAACAGAACCTCTTACATCCTACTGTTACCGCTCATACAACAAACTCCTTCAGTAATACTCTACACTGAGTGGCTCTTGGGCCTTGTATAAAATCAACATTAGTAAAAAATAGAAAGAAGAAAACAATTACTGCATATAAACAAGCGTGTCCGAAAATTCCGATTTTAAATCTTTCCCTTGGTGCTTCAATTTAGTCAAAAAGCCTACTAATATAAAATATCTATCAGATATATACATCATACTTATTATAAAACCCAGGTTGTGTGTGTGTGTGTGTGTGTGTGTGTGTGTGTGTGTGTGTGTGTGTGTGTGTCTGTACGTTTATATATTGGGTCGGATTTCCTACATTTTTCAACCGATTCCAACAAAACTTCTCTTTTTTTTGGAAGGTAGTGTTTCTTATTGTCTTACACACTTTTTTCTGTATTTTTACATTCAGAATGCTTTAAAAATTCCATTTACAAGACAAATGTTTATAATGAAATTCTATTCAATCGGTAGACTCATAACGATTGAAAACAATGTCTTTGTTTGAGTTTGGGTTTGACCAAATCGTAAAAAAAAAAAAAAAAAGACTAATTAAGACATGCGTGTCCGTCAACCTTAAACAATAATCTTTGTCAATTTTATTTTTCAGTCTTTATGATGGTCAATACTTGATCTATCTCTTACTGTTACATCCCCGGGCAACGCCGGACTCTACTGCTAGTGTATAATAAATATCATCAATGTTTTTGCAGATAGTGTCATCATTTTGCTGTCTTTTGACTAGTCAAGTTTCAGACCAATTAAATCTCTTTCTTTCTTTCTTTCTTTCTTTCTTTCTTTCTTTCTTTCTTTCTTTCTTTCTCTCTCTCTCTCTCTCTCTCTCTCTATATATATATATATATATATATATATGAATGAAAAAATTAACAAATCTCTATGTAACGCGTTTCCTCTTTCATTAAACTAAAATAAACTACTTGAAGGAATTATATATATATATATATATATATATATATATATATATATATATATTTATTTCTGGGATATTATTAACCGGTTATAATGACACATTTGAGAGGAAACGCTGAAGATTACATCTAGAGGAAACGCTGAAAATATAGAGAGGCTAAATTTTAAATTTAAATTCGGAATAACCGGCGTCCAATGTATCTACACGTATAGCTTACCAGACTTCATTCAGCCACCCAATGCTTCTGTTTTTTTTGTTTTTGTTTTGATCGCTGTTTTTTCTTTAATTCTTTAATATCCTACCTTGTGATAGCTGAAGTTTTGTTAAGAAAGGTGAGATATGGTATGATTTCTGAATTTTCCATAGAAAATTTGTCCTTGGTTCATTCATGTGAGTGAGCAGGGAGTGGTGAATTCATGCCTCCTTTTGCAAGGTCATTTAGTGCGTAGTGAATGTCAAATGATATTTGATGTTACACCACTTCGCACATCTTTCTACACGCACACATATACACATATCTCTATCTATCTATCTATCATCCCACTGATAGAATCCAACACTACTTAAGTTGGCCGAAATATTTTCGTAATGAGCTGCCTACGATGATTTTATCTGATGGTGGTTATCATACACAAATAAGTCAGTATTCATTATCAAGATGTACGTGTTCCGAACGATTCGGCTTAGTTAATAAATTAAGTTCTCTTTTAATTAATCTTAATTAATCTGCATTAAGTCAACATTATGGTAATGAAGTCTTTTTGAATGAAAAAACCTCTTACCTCTTTATATTTCTGATATGAGTCATTATGATTACTTGCATTATTTAGATTATTCGGACTGTTATCCTCATCTTTATTGCCATATTAACAACATTTCGGCCGTTGTACGCTCCAGCCTTCTTCAGTTAATTGGAATTTCGAACCGAACACTTTATTTCGTCTACCGAAAAATGCAATAATAATAATAAGAAAAATTGCAATATGAGCACTGGTAAAAATTTCTCTGAGACAGTGGGTTTATAATTCCCAACAATTCATCCCTCAAGGACAGATTGCCCAGTGGATAAAGACGTTGGTTAGATCCAGTAACTAGACCCAAAGAGTTGAGAGTTCAATACCTAGGCCAAAGCAGTGGTGAACCATTTGTTGAGTGAAAGGGGAATAACTGAGACATCCGGAACTGGAACAATCTATCCCAGTGGACGAAATAATCCTGAAAAAATCCGAAACGTTGTGGATATAGCAATGAAGATAAGGATAACAGTCCGAATAATACAACAAACTTATTACATAGAGATTTTTACATATTTTCATTCAATTACTTGCCTTTATTCTGAGATATCATATTTATCCCCCATATATATATATATATATATATATATATATATATATATATATTTGTGTGTGCGTGTGTGTGTGTGCAGTAAATTATAAAATAAATTAGTTCCTTCATCTTATGACGCTGTATGAGTTTTCGTGGAGTTACATCCGCCCTTCAAAATTTACTATCAAATCTGGGGAGTAGATTTAATTTTAATCTGGGGAGTAGATTTAATTTAATCTTTATAGTATATATATATATATATATATATATATATATATATATATATATATACGCCCCCTCTTGTAGGCTGAACACTTTGGAAGAAAGGGAATTTGTCGGCTGCTGCTAGTTAACGCTAAAAGCTCTTCGCTATGAATTGAGCCCTCTGGTAGCCGGTAATGCTTATGTCACGTATATAATGCGTTCAGTTTTCCCTTTCTCCGCTGCGTGCGTAGCTTGAGATTGAGAAACTCCGAATCAGTCGGGTTTCGATCAGGGCTTGAAATAATCGCATGTCTAGCCACACTGATGAGTTGTGATACAGCGAAACAGTCTACCTCTCTCTCTCTCTCTCTCTATATATATATATATATATATATATATATATATGACAAAATTTTTGAAACTGTTTGCATCTCTCGTTTCGTGTGCAAGAGTAAACGTGGCGACGTCAACAAAGCCCAGTCCGATGAAATCCTAACGGATGAAACGCGTCACAAATAAAATTTTCCAGTTTGTTATATTTTTCTAAATACTAATTATTGTTAATTATAAAATTATACCAATTTATATATCGTTATATATATATCGTTATATATATAATGGACTCTCCCGACGGTTTCGACGTATGAGGATCTGACAGCTTATTGATTCAGTTATGAAATTTTGTGCGATAATCTTAAGTGGCATTTAAGACCCGCTAGTGATTTACAAAGGAGGCCACATATGGAGCAAGTGTGAGGATAATGAGATGGCTAATTAGATTGGCTGACCTTTTAGATCTTGCTCTCACTTCTTGAAGATGATTCAGACAAACCGATTGAAAATTGCTGAGTCCATTAAAACACGTTGATCTCCATTTTATCCGCTCCAAGGCTAAGCGCTCAAGGGTGTTATGTGGTATATTGACTGCTGACAAGTTGCTTTTCAGCTTGTCTCTGTATCTTAGCCATGGGCGTCCTATATTCCTGTAGCCCTGATCTAACTGGCTGTACATTAGAATCTTCGGTATCCTGTCATCAGACATTCTCAAGACATGACAAATCCACCGTATATGTCGTTATATATATATATATATATATATATATATATATATATATATATATATATATATATATGATTATTTATTTAAAAAATTTATAACATAAATATGGTATAAAATCACTACAAAATAGCCATTTTGTTTCAACACCCCCGGTGTCTTATCAAGTGATGATGTTGAATGTAAAATAAATGAGCACTCTTTTAAGTAATTGTTGGTTATTGAATTCATTCGTATACACAAATCATATATATTTGTATATATATATATATATATATATATATATATATATATATATATATATATTGTCTTTGTATCTCTCTGACCAAAGCTTCACACGAACACATTTAATACCATTTATACCATTGTACCAGGCCCAATAATGAATTTACTCGTCAAGAGCAGGAATATGATACGTACACCCAACTGCAAAAAATAGCTTTTAAAAGGGATGTCAGCACTTATTATTACAATGCAAGGGAACATCCCTTAATAGCACCAATTACGAAGACAGCGTAACCTTAAACCATGTCGTGTTTGGAAATTAAGTGTATTCAATTTCCAATAAGTTTTATATTATCTAAAATTGCACTTACACATCATTTATCTAAGTGTTAATAGAAGTTTTTGCAAGTAGTTTATAGTTCAACCGAAAGCGCTCGGAATAAACAAATATTTGGAGAATTTTTACACTCATTAATTGTAGAAAAGAGAACATTTGTGTATGCATACAATTAACATATAGTAGTAAAAAGTAGAAAATGTATCATGTCTGTTTCGTTTAACGAAACATGCATTAAAGAATGATTATTACTCCAAAGAACAACTTTACATCTATCTATCTATCTATCTATCTATCTATCTATCTATCTATCTATCTATCTGTTTCTGTCTGTCTATGCCAGTCTACTAATATCTATCTATCTTATCTTTCTATTTCTGTCTCTCTATGCCAGTCTATTCATTATCTATCTACCTAACGATCTATCTATCTCGGTCTATGCCAGTTTACTATCTATCTATCTATCTATCTATCTATCTATCTATCTATCTATCTATCTATCTCGGTCTATGCCAGTTTACTATCTATCTATCTATCTATCTATCTATCTATCTATCTATCTATCTGTTATTTTGAATATGTATAGGTTTTAATATCACGTTCATCTCCTGTAAGCCAAAGAGATAGAGATTATTATGATTTTTTAAAATGCTTTCTAAGCTTCTTTGAATGTGAAATGAAACAATTGATGAAAATACAAAAGCGTACATCAATACAATTATACTAATGTTTCATATTGAAATCTCAAATGCTACAGTAGAAATATATCTTTGGCGCCATATACAAACTTAAGACGAGGGAAATTCTACTAAAAATGAAAGGATATAAATAACAAGTGTTTTTTTTTTTTCATTTTATCCGCTTTTTTCTTCGTCATTTCGTTTTCTTCTTTTATTTTTTTGTCTTTCCCCCTCCTTTTTTTTTCTTTTTCCCTTTCATTTTTTTTGTACATTATACTATTTTTTATTATCATTTTCACCTCTTCTTTCTTCTGCTTTTTCCAGTTCTTTCTTTCCCTTTTGTTTTCATCTTTTTTGTTGCTTTCTTCTTCTTTTCTCTTTTACACTTCTTTTCTCTTCTTTTCCCCTTTCTTTTTCTTTATTTTGCACGTTATTCTGTCTTTTTCTCGTTCTCGTTCTCGTTCTCGTTTTCATCTTTACCTCTTCTTTTTTTCCTTTGTCTTTGTGCTTTCCTTCATTTCTTCATTTCTCCTTTCTTTTCCATCATTATTTTCTTTCTCTTCCCATTTGTTTTTCATTTTTTTTGTACGTTTTTGTATTTTTAAAATTTTTTCTCTTTTTTTTCTTTTGCTTTTCTTCATTCTTGTTTTCTTCGTTTCCATCGTTTTTGTTCTTTTCTTCACTTTTTCTTTTCTCTTTTCTCTCTTTTGACCTTTTCCTTCTTTTCCCCTTTATTTTACTTTATATTGCACGCTATTCTGTTTTTCATTTTTCCTCTTCCATTTCTTTTTTCTCTTGACTGTATTCGTTCTTGGTTTAATCTTTTCCTCTCCCCACGCTCTTTTTTTCTTTTCTTTTCCCCTCTTATTCTTCTTTTCTCCTTTATTTTTGTTTTTCTTTTGTACATCATTCTATTTTTTCTCTTCTGTCTTTTCCTTTTTCTTGTTATTATTTTCTTCTTTTTCCCCCTCTTCTTTTTTCCCTTTTCTTCTTTATTTTTTTACAAATAATACCGTTGTCATTTTAAGTGATGCCCTACTGAGTCAACTTCAATATGCATTAGTTCCCACATCGCATGTCCAAATAGTCTGTGAAAGTATGTGACAAGCAGTCCCCACTTCTTTTTTCACATTAATAAATGCTTTTATGGTGTGACTTTTCACTTTAAAAAACATCGGTCTTATTGTTTCAGTCATTTGCTTTCTTACCACACTTGTTTCTTTTTTTTTCTAATTTATAAATTTGCTCCTCGTCAGTGATTTCTCTTTTCATGTCTATGAAGTTTAGCCCGAGAAAAAAACGAAGACGAAACAAAGGGTTTAGTTTACACAATAAATATTTCCAAACTTAGTCTCCTTTGTTAACAATATGCATCATATAACGATTATCCATAGATAACATAATATATACAGATGGAAACCCATACACTAAAAATTTCAGATCCCCATTCAGCTAACTAGATCGACTCAGGTGATCCATTGACTCACTATACAAAGTTTAGTTTTACCTGGTAAAAGGATATTAGTAAAAGCTAACTTGCTCAAAAATTTATGACAATGAAGGAACCGATTTGTTCGTATTTAAATTTACGTACTTTCTTCTTTTGTGCATCGCCTCCCTTCAGGAAACGGGAGATCATGGTTCTCCACAACTTTCTAGCATTTGCAGCTGTTTTTTAATATTTGTGTCCTTACTATTCCATAATATTTACACCGCAAATTAATACAGAACGCCAGCAATAATATGAACACTCAAATTCTGTTCCTGAATAGCCTCGTCAGATCTAGATTTTCATATCAATGTCATGCATGGCACCAAATCCGTTCAGAGAGGTACTTGGTCAGTTTGCCCACAGAGACTTTGCCCACTGAGATTTTGCTAACAGACACTTTGCGTACAGAGACTTTGCCTACAGACACTTTGCGTACAGAGACTTTGCCTACAGAGACTTTGCCCACTGAGACTTTGCATACAGAGACTTTGCCTACAGAGACTTTGCCTACAGAGACTTTGCGTACAGAGACTTTGCCTACAGAGACTTTGCCTACAGACACTTTGCCCACTGAGACTTTGCGTACAGAGACTTTGCCTATAGACATTTTGCCTACAGAGACTTTGCGTACAGAGACTTTGCCTACAGACACTTTGCCCACTGAGACTTTGCGTACAGAGACTTTGCCTACAGAGACTTTGCCTACAGACACTTTGCCTACAGACACTTTGCCTACAGAGACTTTGCCTATAGGCATTTTGCCTACAGAGATTTTGCCTACAGACACTTTGCCTACAGAGACTTTGCCCACCGTGACTTTGCCTACGGACTGTTTGCCTACAGAGACTTTGCCCACTGAGACTTTGCCCACTGAGACTTTGCCCACTGAAATTTTGCTAACAGAGACTTTGCGTACAGAGAAGAGACTTTGCCTACAGAGACTTTGCCTACAGAGACTTTGCCTACTGAGACTGTGCGTACAGAGATTTTACCTACAGACACTTTGCCTACAGAGACTTTGCGTACAGAGACTTTGCGTACAGAGACTTTACCTACTGACACTTTGCCTACAGCGACTTTGCCTAAAGACACTTTGCCTACAGACACTTTGCCTACAGAGACTTTGCCTACAGAGACTTAACGTACAGACACTTTGCCTACAGAGACTTTGCCCACCGTGACTTTGCCTACGGACTGTTTGCCTACAGAGACTTTGCCCACTGAGACCTTGCCTACAGAGACTTTGCCCACTGAGACTTTGCCCACTGACACTTTGCCCACTGACAGTTTGCCTACAGAGACTTTGCCTCCGGACAGTTTGCCTACAAAGACTTTGCCCACAGAGACTTTGCCTACAGAGACTTTGCCCACAGTCACTTTGCCTACGGACAGTTTGCCCACAGAGACTTTGCCTACGGACAGTTTGCCTACAGAGACTTTGCCTACGGACAGTTTGCCCACAGAGACATTGCCTACGGACAGTTTGCCTACAGAGAGTTTGCCTACAGAGAGTTTGGCTACGGACAGTTTGCCTACAGAGATTTGCCTACGGACAGTTTGCCTACAGAGACTTTTCCCACAGAGACTTTGCCTACAGAGACTTTGCCTACAGAGATTTTGCCTACAGAGACGTTGCCTACAGAGATTTTGCCCACTGAGACTTTGCCTACAGAGCCTTTGCCCAGTGACACTTTGCCCAGTGACATTTTGCCCACTGAGAGTTTGCCTACAGAGACTTTGCCTACGGACAGTTTGCCTACAGTTACTTTGCCCACAGAGACTTTGCCTACAGAGACTTTGCCCACAGAGACTTTGCGCACTGAGACTTTGCCTACGGACAGTTTGCCTACAGAGACTTTGCCTACAGAGATTTTGCCTACAGAGACTTTGCCTAAAGAGACTTTGCCCACGGAGACTTCGCCTACAGAGACTTTGCCCACAGAGACATTGCCTACGGACAGTTTGCCAACAGAGACTTTGCCTACAAAAGCTTTGCCTACAGAGACTTTGCCTACGGACAGTTTGTCCACAGAGACTTTGCCTACAGAGACTTTGCCCACTGAGACTTTGCCTACGGACAGTTTGCCTACAGAGACTTTGCCTACAGAGATTTTGCCTACGGACAGTTTGCCCACTGAGACTTTGCCTACAGACACTTTGCCTACAGAGACTTTGCCTATAGAGACTTTGCCCACAGACACATTGCCTACGGGGACTTTGCCTACGGACAGTTTGCCTACAGAGAATTTTCCTACGGACAGTTTGCCTACAAAGACTTTGCCCACAGAAACTTTTCCAACAGAGACTTTGCCCACAGAGACTTTGCCTACAGACACTTTTCTCACTGACACTTTGCCCACTGTCACTTTGGCTACAGAGACTTTGCCTACGGACAGTTTGCCTACAAAGACTTTCCTCACAGAAACTTTGCCTACAGTGACTTTGCTCACAGAGACATTGCCTACGGACAATTTGCCTACAGAGACTTTGCCTACAGAGAATTTGCCTACAGAGACTTTGCCACTGAGACTTTGCCCAGAGAGACTTTGCCTACAGAGACTTTGCCCACTGAGACTTTGCCTACGGACAGTTTGCCTATAGATACTTTGCCTACAGAGATTTTGCCTACAGAGACTTTGCCTATAGAGACTTTGCCCACAGAGACATTGCCTACGGAGACTTTGCCTACGGACAGTTTGCCTACAGAGACTTTGCCCACTGAGACTTTGCCTACAGACAGTTTGCCTACAGAGGCTTTGCCCACAGAGACTTTGCCAACAGAGACTTTGCCCACAGACACTTTGCCTACGGACAGTTTGCCCACAGAGACTTTGCCTACGGACAGATTGCCTACAAAGACTTTGCCCACAGAAACTTTTCCAACAGAGTCTTTGCCCACTGAGACTTTGTCCACAGAGACTTTGCCTACAGAGACTTTGCCCACAGAGACTTTGCCTACAGACACTTTTCTCACTGACACTTTGCCCACTGTCACTTTGGCTACAGAGACTTTGCCTACGGACAGTTTGCCTACAAAGACTTTCCTCACAGAAACTTTGCCTTCAGTGACTTTGCCCACAGAGACATTGCCTACGGACAATTTGCCTACAGAGACTTTGCCTACAGAGAATTTGCCTACAGAGACTTTGCCCAGAGAGACTTTGCCCAGAGAGACTTTGCCTACAGAGACTTTGCCCACTGAGACTTTGCCTACGGACAGTTTGCCTATAGAGACTTTGCCTACAGAGATTTTGCCTACAGAGACTTTGCCTATAGAGACTTTGCCCACAGAGACATTGCCTACGGAGACTTTGCCTACGGACAGTTTGCCTACAGGGACTTTGCCCACTGAGACTTTGCCTACGGACAGTTTGCCTACAGAGGCTTTGCCCACAGAGACTTTGCCAACAGAGACTTTGCCCACAGACACTTTGCCTACGGACAGTTTGCCCACAGAGACTTTGCCTACGGACAGTTTGCCTACAAAGACTTTGCCCACAGAAACTTTTCCTACAGAGACTTTTGCCCACAGAGACATTGCTTACGGACAGTTTGCCTACGGAGACTTTGCCCACAGAGACTTTGCCTACAGAGACTTTGCCGACAGAGACTTTACCCACTGTGACTTTGCCTACGGACTGTTTGTCTATAGAGACTTTGCCTACAGAGATTTTGCCCACAGAGACTTTGCCTACAGAGACTTTGCCTACAGAGATTTTGCCCACTGACACTTTGACCACTGACCCTTTGCCCACTGACACTTTGCCTACAGAGACTTTGCCTACAGACACTTTGCCTACAGAGACTTTGCCTATAGACATTTTGCCTACAGACACTTTGCCTACAGACACTTTGCCTATAGGCATTTTGCCTACAGAGATTTTGCCTACAGACACTTTGCCTACAGACTGTTTGCCTACAGAGACTTTGCCCACTGAGACTTTGCCCACAGAGATTTTGCCCACAGAGACTTTGCCCACAGAGACTTTGCCTACAGAGACTTTGCCTACAGAGACTTTGCCTACTGAGACTGTGCGTACAGAGATTTTACCTACAGAGACATTGCGTACAGAGACTTTGCGTACAGAGACTTTACCTACAGACACTTTGCCTACAGCGACTTTGCCTAAAGACACTTTGCCTACAGACACTTTGCCTACAGAGACTTTGCCTACAGAGACTTAACGTACAGACACTTTGCCTACAGACACTTTGCCTACAGAGACTTTGCCTACAGATATTTGGCCTACAGAGACTTTGCCTACAGACACTTTGCCTACAGAGACTTTGCCCACCGTGACTTTGCC